GACTATAATACAAAAATATTGGTTAAACAATTCCATGTTTCCTAATAATTTTCGCAACACATCGGTGTTCGACGATCGAGAAAATCCCTGATACCATTAAAACCTTATTTATCACCACTAATCTCATCTCCATCATTTAACAATCGAACCAAAAGGTTCGACTACACTCACCTCTCGAGCCCTTCACATCATTTCAATTATTATCCCAATTTCACTTACGTCAATTTTCCCCTAAAGATCACTATCGTACAATAGTCCCATACCTCTATCCGTACGAACAAAAGTAACCGTAATCATTTTCATACCGTGCTGCTCAACATAATTATCGCTCCGTCGAGCGGCGTTCCCCGGTTGATTAATTAAGGAACTAATTAATCAAGGATAAAGCGATGACGCCTTGGCGTCATCGTGCTCGAACTGTATATGACGCTGATAGCGTTGCACGTGGAAACACATGCGCGCTTTAATTGTGCACCGTGATGCATGGATGTAACTCGTTACCTTAATGAGAATGTAAGTCATCGCACTTGTCACGCCGCGTTCGATTTATCATGAATTCTCTCGTTTTACATCCGGCGAGATTGATTCGAGGAATTATAGTCGTGTTCCTATTGTACCATTTATTTTCACTCTTTTATCTTTCAATTTGCGTTAGGATACAATACCGCGGTATGCGAGAGTGAATGGTGGCTTATAATGTTAATGCAAGCGCGAGAGGGGTAAGAATAAATGATAAGGTTGAACGAACGCGTGTAATAAATTTGTAACAATCTGTAAATCACTTTTGTTTTTCGTCCCTTTGTATCGTCAGCGATGCGTGTAATTGGTTTATAAGGGGAGGATGGAATAAATTGCGAACGATGAAGCTTTCAAGTTTCTGTCAGCTTTTCTATTTTTTCGTTTCGTTTTTGAAATAAATTTATTAATTTAATTCTTAGTTTCTTATTTTCTCGTTCATTTACGATACTGAATTAAAATACGTCTTTATTTCGGGCTGGGACAGTAATCGTATCGAGATAAGTAAATAAGAATGGAGACAAAATGAAATAAATAAAATGAAAATGAAAAGAAAAGTAGAATGATTAATTACTTAATTATCTTCCTAATAAAATTACATTTTTGATTTTTCATGTCCTTACCTAAATCTTGACAAATTTTTTTATCGCATTCTTCTCTTCAAAGTTGAAGTTTCATCGGGAGAAAATAAAATAGATTCTGTAAAAATGCCCCTTTGCAAAAGGTTTCAACATGTCTAAAATTATCGAATTACAATATGACACTGAATCAGTCACGAGCATAATTCCGTGATCCACATAGCAAAGCGTTACTTAATCTTGACACTTTTCTCAATTCATGAATATTCCTCGTTATGACTTACAAAGGCGTCTCTCGTCGTATCAGAAATGCAAAAACTGTCTTGTTAATGAGGTCTGAATTTCCAACTCTTCGAATTCTCCTACAACTTTCCCTCCTAATTGAAAAAAAAATTCGTATTGTATGAACCTCTTTGCGTAACCATTTCGAACTGATACACAGAGTTACGCGCATAAAGTACATATCGCAGTACCGTGCGATAATTGTTTCTTATGTGTGAATACATACTATGAATACGATACGTATACTTCATTTTCTCCCTTGATTTGAATATAATAAACCGTAAGCATACATTTCGCAACGCGGATTATTCAACAGCGTGGCTCGTTAAAAAGCTGTTTACATGCAAAAACGAGGCTGTTATTTAAATAAACAAAAATTGTCTTTGACACATTGTTCTTGGAATATATTAGGCTTGTGCCGGAAGTACAATGTTTCCTTCTTTTCGTATGTTAAAAGAGGATCGACAAACTCCGTATTTGAACACTCTTCCATATTTTTTAAATTGCAATTCAAGTAAACGTAGAAAAATTAACCCCTTCACGTATGATTTCTTCTATAATTTCTGACTGTGCGTCCAAGCGTCGGCTGTTTTCTGTTTTAGTACTATATTAAGGAAGAAAATGCTAATGTGTTGTAGATTAGTTAAATTTGGCAATCTTCAGTTTTGTAAATTAAATGGAAAATTGGAATTAAAATGAATTTCTCTTAGTGATACAGCTCTTTTTATCAGATCTTCAGCAAAATCTGTGGCAGGAGTCTGAATCGTTGCTATACTGCTAGGGGTTAAACACGGAAGTGAATTTTCTTGGTAGTAATTTAGTGATATTTAAAATATGAAAATACTGATTTGGGATTTAATAGAAGAAGCAAGTTTGAGTAAAAAAATTCTAACAAATGTATGCTTGTAAATGGGTGAAAAGCTTGTTTGACACGTTCGCTGCCACCAGAAAATCGATAACACGCTGGGGAATACATTGTCGACCGCACATGCTGCGTTGGTGGCAACGAACGTATGAAAGAGTTTAAGAAATCAATTTCTTCTTTTCCTATATTCCGTTAAAGTGAAGCTTAATGTCCAGAGTGCTCTATTGAAGAATTTCTAAGAAACTAGCGATTATAACAAATACACAGACTCCCGGCATACACGTAAAAGGGTAATCTTTCAGAATACCTGCCAATTTCATATGTTTCCAAATGTAAGACTGCAATCAACCATAATTTTTCTTCTCGTGAACGAAGAAAAATCAGGTTGTACACATAGAGTATTACCTCATACATTCAACAATCACCTAAAAACCTTAATCTTCGCACAGCTTAAGACCGTGTCCAAAGGAAATCGTCTAGTTTGCAAATCGCTTATTAAACGTACCTTGCTCATTTCCACGAGTTCTATCAACCAATTAATCCCTGACCTACAGCTCTAAAACTCGTCTGTCGAATGATCAGTAAGTACACGTGTTCCATCATTTCCCATCACCTAACAAGTACGTACATATCTATCATGCCAAATGCTCGAACCACGATTAAATAACCAACAGTGATACACACACATGCACGCATATACACGGTTTTTGTGAACTCAGGAGTGCGGTATACTAGCGGTAGCTTTACCCGCTTATTTACTCGATAATATTTACATTGGCACTAAATGAAACGAAAGAATATTTTGCATAATAGTACGAAGTGAAGTAAAGTAAAGGTAACGTAAAGGTAAAGTAAAATAAGGTGAAATAAAGTAAAGTAAGGTAAGGTAAAATAAAGTACAGTAAAGAAAATTAAGATAAAATAAAGTAAAATAAAAAGCAGTACACAGAAAAATAAAGTAAATAGATAAATAAATAACGCGATAACGATATCTTCATTTTCTCTCACCTACGATTTCTCACATAACTAGCACACATACACACACACACACAGGCGCAGGGCGATTAAAGAAATCGCGAGGCAACGGGGTTAACGAGGTCGTATCACCAGCCGGCAGACCGTCTGTTGCGCGCGCGTTATCGCAAGAACACGTGTACCCGATACCTGAGCAGCCTGACAATCGTTCGCCATCCGTATTGAAGCGAATGGCCCGGCCCCGTTAACCGGGCTGACACCTCGAAAAAGTAGTCCCAAAATACGCGGAACCATCGGGTCGACCTGCCCCGGCTGTGTCGCGCGCGCTCAGCTTCCTCTTTTGCTCATTCCACGGGGGCGACCATATGTCGACCGCGAATAAGGATGCCGACGGGTGGTTTTTCTTCGCGCGGGATGGCCCGGTATCTTTTCTTCTGCTCCTTTGCCCCGGGAATCGCGCAGCTGAACGCCCTGGGCCGAATTCCACGAAGTCTTTCGGGTCTGCGTACTCGAGATGTTTGCTTCCCTACTCGTTTAGATCCTGCTTATGATGTCCTCTTTATGAAATTGTTTTGCTCCAATCAGGTGTTCGATCTTTTTGGGGGGAGACCAGGATCGAGGAGTAAACACGACCATCTGTTGTTACTTGAAAGAAAAAACGGGGCACCTTTGGGATCTTAAATCTGAGATTCGATGCTGTTTGACGCTCTTGATATCTTTCCAACTTTTTATTTCTTCTCTTTTTTTTTGTCTATGTGAAATTTATGTTTTTCCGAGTTAATTTTGTAAGATCGCTGCTTCCGTACCTTAATAAGGAACACCAATGGGAAAAAAATTAGGTGGCGTTATTTGCGCAGTGGGCCAAGTCTCGGCGTACCACCGCGAAGGACGTGGGTTCGATTCCCGGTTGGGGTCCTTCGATTTTTTCCTCGGTTTTTACAATTTGAATGCATACTTCCATGTTCCCTTATATGAGATGAATGATTCCAAGTGATTTAACACGTTCGCGACCAATTCTCTACATGTACGATATTATCTACATCGAATACATCATAAAAATTGCACAGTTTGAGTATTTAACGACTACTAGATTATGTATAAGTGCAGGCATCGATCGTATCATGTAAAACTGATAAAAAATAGCGAACCTATTAAACAAAATTATTCATATTAATGATTCATGTTTCTACGAACTATTCTGTTGATGTTCCAGGCTCGAGCCTAGGAGTCTGGGGACGCAGAATGAGCAAGAAGATAGACTCGTTCCGGCGGGCTGGTTCCCGCGAAACGATCTGCTCTATATCCGAGAGATCCGACACCTCGAACAACAACAATTGCACCGCCACGAGTAACAACAACATCTCCACCAAAATGGAGAAATCACTGCCAGACTTGAAGCTAGACTCCAAGCTAGAGAAGAGAATATCAGGAACGTTTCACAGATCACCCTCGCCCTTCAAATCCTTCTTCATCCGCATGGGTTCCACAGGGATGCTGAATTCAGCAAGAAACAACAGGCGTTCCCAGAACGTCGAAGACAGGTTGAAAACAACAGAAAAGGAGAACCTATTCCGTAGTTGTAGCACCAGTCAGTTGAACACCAGTCCAACGTACGTCAAAGGAGACGATCCTTCGGAAGGGATCGATCTTCAAATCTCGAGTCGCAAGGACAAGACCGTATCCTGCGACAATCTCGCCGGTCGTCAAAACGACGACGCGTTTGGCGAGAGTATCAACGACGCTACAACATCCTTGTACCCTTTAGGAAGCCCATCGATGACGAGCTTCAGCCCGTGCGACTTCGGACAGTCGCGAAACGAATCACCGATGAGAAAGAGCAGCAGCTGCGACTTCAAGGAGGCAAAGAAGTCCAGCTTCCCCTACGCTTTCCTCCGATCGAAACTCTCCGTCCTGCCTGAAGAACGTCACAGCACGTTCGCCTCGAAAGACGAACGACTCTTCAAAACCGCCTCCGAGGAGCATTTCCCCGCGTTGAAGATCGAAGACACCTACACCGGAACCACTACGCTAGGTCGACGGCGCACCAGGAACGGGAATCTCGTCAGAGGTAGCGGGAACAAGTCTCAGGAACCGTCCACCTTGAAGTCCGGGCGAAACTCGTACGCGGAGTTCCGCAAGAACGCGAGCAGGTGCGAGGACAGGTACAGCCTGAACCCTGGTCACCTGGAGAGGATCGACGACAACTTCCAGCAGGAGGACACCGGTTGCTACAGCTCGTACGACAGCAGCCCGATGTCTCTGAGGGGAAACAGCAACACTCAGCATCCCGAAGCTGGTCAGGATAGAGTAGACTTCTCCGGTAGGATCAACGAGTCCAGGTTCTCCGAAACTTCCTCGTTGAACGTGGACCTGGACATGGTGGCGACGTTGAGGAATCACAGGCGGAATTCCGCGCCCAGCGGCGAGCAGAGGCTCTCTTCTCATTACGTGAGCTCGAACGAGTCTGGTTACGACAGCGACGGACCTAGGGGAGAGTCTGCCGCTGCATCGGAGAACGAGGGTTTGAGTTTGAAGTGCACGGACAGCTCGGATACCAGCAGTGTCGTTGACTCGGAACTGGAAAAACCTATAAGAAGTTCTACCCCGAGCGAATGTCAGGAACAGGAGAATAGCAATGATTCTGGTAGAACGAGGAAGAACTCGGAGATCGAGGCTGTTGTCAGAGGTGGAAATTCAGAGTTGAACGATGGAATAGACGGACTTAGATGGCACCAGAGTAATTCTGGCCGACTGCTGCCGAGCATTCATCAAACGTACGACGATACCGCGATGAATTCTCAATTTCCAGTGTGCGGGAACGGGTTGAACGCGTTGCAGAGCTCGCCGAAGTCGCTCGACATCTCGCCCCATCGGATTAGATTGCAGCAGGATAAGAGTAGGTTTCTCAGCGACATCATTCAGCCGCCGAAGAGAGTGAGGAGGTGTCGACTGGTGCAGCTGCATAAGAGGGATCCTAAGGAAAGTTTGGGGATTCGGTTGGCGCAGCAACGATTAGGCGAGCTGCGGTACATCGTCGTTCAGCTGGAAAGTGATGGAATAGCGCATAGGTAATGGCGTTTAAATGGAACTTAATTTAGAAGGGGTTCTGGGAACGAGTTATACCAGTGTTCTTAGAGTGTTTGCGGAGGTTTGGGTCGATTGAGTGTAGTTTACCGAAGTCGTGTTTTTTTTTTTAGAGGGCATTTAAACGTGGGATAGTAATCTATAATAGAAATGTGTGAATTATGAATTGAGATGGTGTTGTGATAATTAACGCTGTAGAGGAGAGAGTTTTTAATGATGAAATTGGAAGATTCGTAGTAATAGCTGTATAGCTTTCACTGCAGGATAAAAGATTCGAGGAAATAAGAGTTTCTAGTGATTCTCAGTATTTTTTTTTTTTTTATTTGTCATGCATACATAGAGATTTGTTCCAAATTTTTTTCGATATTTTTCGTTTTGAGATACTTGAACTTTTCCTTTTGGACCATGAACTGAACCCTATTGAACCATATATGTACATAACTCTATTTAATTCTTCAATTTCCGATTATCTTGCAAAAATGGTACCAAATTATTCTGATATAAATCCACGCAACGTGGATTTGAGTTTTCCAAATTTTTTCAAAATCACCGACACTTACATTTCCCTGTGTCCCAATTTCACACAAAAGACTTGTAATTCCTAAATTATCACAAAAAAAAGAAAATAGCCAACTTCAAGTAGAACACCGTTCATTTCAACCATTAAATTCCCATTTACTCCAATTTCGCTTCCATTACCATTTCAACCATTAATTTCTCCTCAACACCTCTCACACTTCCCAAACTCTCCACCACCGACAAACTACCGACCAATCGCTCGAACCTTCAATTCATCTCGCAAATCACCTAACAACACGCGATCGTCCGCAGAGACGGAAGACTAAGGCTCGGCGACGAGATCGTCGAGGTCGAGGGCAAGGAGCTGAGGACGTTGGAGAGCCTGGAGGAGGTCCAAGAGTTTCTCAGATCTTTCACCGGCAACAAGATACGTCTGATGACTGCGTACGAGGAAACGGTGCCGCAGGTGTACGTCAGCCCGCCTGCCCTGCCTGGGGAGTACGAGTACCTGGAGAACGCGAAGAATCTTTCGAATCTGTCGTTGATCGACAGCGAAACGAAGCAAAACACGCAACTGGAACAATCGAGCAACAAACCCACCGCGGACGACAACGTGCAGTCCACGAAGAGGCCGGACTTTCTGCCGCTCTCCTGCCTGCCCAAGGAGCGCAAAAGCGCGGAGAACAGTCTGGAGTCGAGCACGGAACCGCAGCACTACTTGACGAGGCACATTGCCAAATTCGAGAAAGGCTACGGCAAGCCTAGCCTTGGTTTCAGCGTCGTGGGCGGCAGAGACAGTCCTCGAGGTGAAATGGGCATCTTCGTGAGGCGAGTTTTCCCCGGTGGCCAAGCTGACGTCTCCAAGTCGCTGTTTCAAGGTAAGGGGAACTGATTTAACGAGTTTCGCTCGATTAGTCGAATAGTTGGAGGATATTGGCACGTGGAAACCGCGAATGGAGAGTTTGGAGTTGGTCAAATTGCAGGAATCGTGGAATGGAGTATAGTAGGTTCTGTTCCGTTCTTGCTGGAGCTCAAAGCTGAGGTGAGAGATTTATAGATGCATTCGTTTACTATAAATTGCTGGAGGATGTAGTGAGGGATGGTTGTAAAGTGTTTCGAAGCAGTAAGTGTCGTCGAGTTTACGATTCTGTAATCTGATTAAGAGATTCCCCTCGCGTGGAAACAAGATCGAGGCGAAAAAGAAAATCGGATTACTGGAAATTATGGTACGGTCCGTAATTCGGTATTACGAGGTGCCAACAACGTTTCGGACTTTCAGTGTAGCTACATCTTGTATGGGAATTAAGTGATTTTCGAACGGTACCGTGTTGCTTGCGTAGCTTTGAAGATTTTGCAGTCTTTGGTTAATACTGAAATGATTAGTTGGCATTGTGGTATTATCGAGAATGATTGTTCCGCGTACACTCTCGTTCGTAAGTGTTAGGACATTTACAGAATGTGAAACAAAGTTAAAAAAAATTATCCAATGTGCAATCTTGTAGTGTAATATACAAAAATTAATGAAAATGTAGGTCAAAATTTTGTCACCCAAGGCTTAGTTTTTCAGAAAATTATACAATATCTGCGCGATTTTTATGAGTTACTATGTTCAAGAAAGAACAAAGACAACATTTTTTTTTTATTTAGGAAACCTCAATGGAGGTTTATATATACATGTGTAAATATATAAGTATACAGTTACATTATGGTCTTAACGAAGTAGTTCTTAGATTTACTATAACACGTATTTCTAGATCTGCAGGTTGCATTCCTTTAGAAAAGACGAAAGATGCAGACATGCTGCAATATTCGAGTTAGCAACCAACATTTCTACATTTGAAGGCAAAATTTGATTAACAATGTTTTATTATTATATATCAAGTAATTTTTGAAACTGTGTCATTGTGCAAATGTAATTTTTTCAAAAATTATGTTTAAATGAAAAAATTCACCCTGTATATATTTTTATTAATATATGACACTAACGCGATAAATTTTCAAACTCAACTTTTTCAAAAACTAAGCTCACATGAAAAAATTCTATTCTACATTTATTATTTATTTTTGCATAAAGAATCGCCTGCTGCTCGTTTGTACAATACTTTCAGCCGCACCATATATACTGTATTTCAATACTGTTTAATATTTCACTGTATTGAAATAAACAGACACATGCGACAGTGAGGAACGTATGGTGGTCCGGCTCCGGGTTTTTCGCAATTTTACGACCTTCCATGACAGGAAATGATTTTGTTCGCACCTCGTTGGACTCGTCTTAATATACACTATCGTATTATGTATAAAAAAATATAGCATTCCATTTAAAAAAGTTAAACTGACTTCGAAATCTCCCCCACCATACCCGGTACAAAAGAAATACTTATACCACATAATCTTTCCCCTCGTACCAAACAACTTTTGTTAAAACACTTTTTTCCTAACGTCACTTCCTTAAAAGATATTTCTCTGTATTGAGATAAAATAGACACCCTGTATATATTTTTTTTTATTAACATATGATACCAACTTGGACGAAAAAGTGTAATTTAAATGCCACAATACTTTCTGCAAGAACACAATGCATTTGCCCTATAATACCTAATTCCGCAATTAGGACACTGCACACGTACCTCGCAAGAAACATCTTCTACACCCAACAAACGTTACACACAACTGCAGCCTGGATCGCGCAAAAACCAAAT